AACTGGCGCACTATAAGACCACCTCTTGATTGTGCTGGAGGCCCCCGTCCCAAAAAGGAGGGCTCCATCCCATCCCCTGGAGGGGGGACCAAAAAAGGAAGGGAGGTGGCGGGAAGGGCTCCCCGGGAAGGGAAAGCAGAACCCCCAGAATGAGGCAGGGGCAGAAAAGGGAAGAGGCAGCGGGACGATGGGGCCTCCCCCCACCCGCCATCAGCAGTCATTTAAGTTTCACACAGAATGTTTTCTCTTGATTCAGCTGAAGGAAATTCAGAAGGCCCACAGCCCGCAAGTGAGGCTCTTCTGCAGAGGGACCCCCCAGGCCTTCTCTCCTCCAAGGGGGCTCACACCATAGTGCGGAAAACCCAGTTCCGGGGAATTCCTGGGCGGGGAGAGCGGGTGTCGCTGCTCGGTCCCGGTTTAGGCGAGACAAGGAGCCGCAGTTCCCTGGGCACTTCTCTTCCTCCTGCGTTGGGGAGCTCGCTTTGGCAGCGGGGGTGGGCCATTCTGTGCCGAGACCCCAACCAGGAAGGGGCCGGGTCACGCGTGGCTCTCGGCAGGAGGAACCCGAGCCCACGTGCTCGTCTTTGGCTGCGGAGGCCAGTCCGGGTCGAAGAGCAGCTCCTGCGCCAGCCGCTTGTACTTGGCCCGGGGAACAGCCTGCCGGCAGCATGAGTACCCAGGGGCCATCTCGTCCAGCTCCAGCTGTGGGGCAGAGAACGGCAGCAGCCTGAGTGTCCGGCCTGGATCAGGAGCAGACGAAAAGCGGCCACTCTCCTCTTTCCAGCTCTGGGCCTTTCGATTGACCGGCCGACTGGCCGGCCAACCGACTCCACACTGGAGAACCGGGGCTACCCCACCCAGCCGCCTCTGGGGCTCCAAGCCCACTTGCCCGTCCTGGCTGGCCACACTCAGAACCTGAGATCAGATGGCATTCTGCCCCTGCAGGCCACAGTTGCACCCCCACCTGTCAGCCACTGGTTCCCCTGCCTGCCATCACAGAGGCCTGAATCCGTGACTTGGCCGCCCGGCCCTCGGCTGCACTTCCCACACCTGGTGAGCCACAGGCGCCACCCCCAGCTCTGAAACAGGCGGCTCTCCCTGGGAACGGCAGGGGACTGGGAGCCGAGTGGGCAGCTCTGTGGGCTTTCCCAATCAATCAAGGACCCAAGGGGCTGCCGGTGGCTTTGGAGCGCTTGGCCCGCACTCTGCCAGCTGGAGGGGCTCGCTGGCTGCAAAGAGGGAAGAGGGAACGTCACATGGGGGCAGCGCTTCTGGGTGCCCCCGAGAGCAGGGCTTTCCTCCGCGCCCACTTCCCTTCTGGGGCTGCCCCAGCGTCCTGGGCAAGCTCCAGGCTTTTAGGAGGAGAAGCCTTTTTGCCAGCTTGCAACTCAGCACCCCAGTCCCTGCCATGTGCTGTGCCCCTGAAGCGGAAGGGTGTCTCTGGCTGTACCTGGGGACAGGTGGCCTGATTTGGGTAGTCATAGTTCTGCCTTCTGTAGCAAACCCGCTGCCACAGGATGTCGCAGTCACACACGAAGTTCTGGGGGTGGAAGCAAGAGATTAGCTGGTTACAAGACAGCTTGCAGACCCAACTTGGGGCCGGGCCTCCCTTCCCCACTCCTGCCCCCCAAGATGGGAGAGCTTGGCTTTTACCTCCAGGGAGAGGGACAGCACCAGATTGCTGAATGCCAGAACCAGCAGGATGAGTCGCCACTTGTAGGGGATACAAGCCAGCTGGGGAGAGAGCAGGCGGCAGTTCGTCGGAGGCTCCTGGCCTGACACCTCTGGGGGTCCCGCCTGGAAGAGCTGGTCCCTGGGAGGCTTATCCCCTAGCTCAGTTTCTGGTGAAGGCTCAGTCTCCCCCCACCACCCATCTTTGGAATGAATCCTACATCACTCTGGCCACCCATGGCCTCTTCCACGCTTGTCCTTCCATGTAGGTGGCTGTAATCTCCCCAAAGCCCTGGGCCAAGGGATCCCTCCCTCCAAGAGACGCCGGTGGGGGGGCAGGAATACCGAGCTTCTGAATCAGCAGCAGCAGGATGCCCCCAGGACACTAGGGCCAGAGCCAAAGACCCCGTGTGCTTTCTGTCTGGGGAAGCACCGCGCTGGCATTGGAGTTGGGTGCTGCCAAGGCAAGGGGGCCCCAAGGCCTCTTCCCTGCTGAAGCCACGATCAGCTCCAGGCAGGCGTCGGATGGAGGTGGCCACACTCTATCTGCAGCCCCTCCTTGGCTGGCCAGGCAGCAGCTCCCCAGATAAGAGGGCTGGGCCGGGAGCACCCAGAGCCCACCTCCAGCCAGCCACGTCCCTCACGTCCTCCGGCTGCCGCCAGCATCCAGGCGGGCAGGGAAACCGCCTACCTGGAAGAACTTGTCCAGGGCGGGAAGCGGCCAGAGCAGGAGGAGAAGCAAGAAGCTGGAGATGAGAACCAGGGAGCCGAGGAAGACGCCTGCCGAGAAAGGGGGCAGAGGGGGGCATTCAGCCAGCCGCGCAGAGGATTTGGGTCGCTGTCCTGTTATGGGCTTTGACGTGCATCCCTAATCTATGGAAGTTTCAAAAAGAGGAGCAAAGCCTTCAGGGCAATAAAAACGAGTTCATGTCCACGCAGCGCAAAGGAAGAGAGCCGTTCTCGCTGCTGGAGCAAATATTAGTCAGAAACTGCAAGGTGGACACCGTCCTTTGAGGGTCTCTCGCAGGGCAGACAAGGAGCCGATTCCTTTCAGAAAAAGCCAATTCCGGTTGGAAATTAAGAACGTCATCCTGAGAATGAAAGCCCCCAGCTCTCCTCAGTCAGAGGGGGTCAAGCGAAGCCAGGCAGGGTTTGGGTGATTCGGCCACAAACTGCGGAGCATGACGCTTTCCCCGGCTGAAAGGGCCTCCCCCTCAGTCCACGAGAGCGCTGGGTGTCCACGAAGAGGGGCACCCAACTCCCGCTGGGGACGGCTCCCGGGCGGCTTCTGTGAACCTTACGCTGCCTGGGTTGCAAGGATGGCCCATGACTCGAACCTGCCTCAAACCAATCCAAACGTGCCCCCCCCCCC